CCACCTTAGGTGTACGTGGCTGGCGCCCTAGCCGGTTGAGCTATAGGCGCCGAGCCTATTTTTGCATTCTATGAAAATTTTTGTTGCTCCATATAGACCAAATTTTTAATTAAGAACCCCCTGCCCCCAGTCAATGGTGTCCTGCTTTACCAATGTTAAAATCTGGTCACCTTAGGTAAAATCCAAGCTGCAGTTGACCCCTCACCCAGGAGGTGCGCCACACATCCTATGTGTGCCCACCAGGTGGAGCTCACCACACCCCTCTGCCCACCCCTGCCCCTGGCTTGAATTTAAATGTGCTTTCTCTTGGGTGAGCGGGCAGTTGTTCATCTACTAGTTTTGTGGCTTCCTTGAGTTAGTTCGACGACCATGGGCTGTGGAGACGATGGCTCTGGAATCGGGATGATCCGGATTCCAGCCTCAGCTCTGCCTAGGCTAATGGTGACTTCTTAAGAAAACATCCCTATTGAGGTGTTTTTCCCATACAATTAATTCACCCGTCTCAAGTGTATGATTCGAGGTTTGTTTCTTTTTAGTATATTTACAGATATGTGCAAGCATCCACACGGTTGATTTTTGGAATGTTTTTATCACCTCAAAGAGAAACTCTGTACTCAGTACTCGCCTCTTTCACTTAGCGTGATATTGCCAGTGTTCACCCGTGTGGTAATGTGTATCAGGCCTTCACTTCTTTGTGGCTGAATAATATTCCATTAAATGGACACCACATTTATTTATCCAGTTTTCAGGTGATGGACATTTGGTTGTTTCTGCCTCCTGCCTACTAGGAGCAATGCTGCTGTAACATTTGTGGACAAGTCTGCATGGAGACCTATCTTTTTATTTCTCTCACCTGGGAGTGAGTTGCTGGGTCACGTGGCGACTCTATGCTTAATTGTTTGAGGAGCTGCCAGACTGTTTTCCCAAGTGGTGGCACCATTATACAACAACCCCAACCCCCCCCAGAGCACCATCTGAGAGTTCTGACCTCACCACATCCTCTTCCAAATGTGTCATTGTTCACTCTGACTCTTGCCATCTTGGTAAAGGGGTCTCTCACTGTGGTTTGAATTTGTCTTTGCCTGGTGACTAAAGATGGTGAGCGTCTTTTGATGTGGTTATTGGTCTTGCTAGCAGCATCCTTTAACATTGGACACAGTTTCAGTCTTCCCATCTGTAAAATGGGACAACCACTGCCAGGGGACACTGTCTTATGGGAACATCGTGACTGAGCTGAGGACGTGTACAGCTGTGAGCTGTCTCACAAGCCACTGGACCCAGGGGACAGGTAGCCCTCTGAAGCCTGGGGACACCTCCTTTTACATCTCTGCTTCATCTTTTCCCCAGCGTCCCGCAGCTGGACTTTGACTGCTCCGAGGCCAGAGACGCTGTGTCATGATTTCTGCAGCAAACAAAGCATTCTCACAGTAAAGTTTTTTGAGACAAGTATTTATTAAGTGAACTAAGTGGAGTGAGCTGGGAATGAGGTTTATGGCTTTCCAGAACAGGGTTGATCTTGTAGGTTGACTCAGGTCCCCTGCTGAAGTCCTAACTCTCAGTGCCTGCCAACGTGACCTTCTTTAGAAGCAGGGTCTCTGCAGAGGTCACTGGTGAAGAGGAGGTCACACTGGGGTAGGGTAGGCACTAACCTAATGCTGGCATCCTTAGAAGAGGGAGATTTGGACACAGACATACACAGAGGGAGACAGCCGTGTGATGGCAGAGATAAAGATTGTGTTTATGCTGCCACAACCCAGAGGCACCAAGGTTTGCCAGTAAGCACCAGAAGCTGGATGAGGCCAGGATGGATCCTCCCCCAGAGACTTCAGAGGGATCATGGCCCTGCTGACCCATTGATTTCAAACTTCTAGACTCCAGAACTCTAAGAGAAACATTTCCGTTCCTGGTGGTACTGTACTTTGGACACTGATACAGGTGACAGTGATGTTTACTAGTGATGAGGCAAGCCCTTGGGGTGGTCCTGTTCCCTGTTCCCTATGTGCCTGACATTTTCCACCCACCACCATCTATTTAATGAGAACAGACTCTGCCGAGTGAGACAAATGAGTAAGTAATGGCTTCTGTCCTCAGTTCAGTCTGCAACGCATGGACACGGGCAGCAGCTTCTGAGGCAGCACTAAGGGTAAGGCAAGGCCAGGGCCGTAACACACAGACTTGGGGCTGGGGGCGGGGGGCCCTGGTCCTTCCAGGGGTGGTGCTGAGTGAGAAGACCTCAGGGCCCCTCCCAGCTCACATTCCATGATTTGATTCTGTATCTGTAGGTTTTATAGTTGTGATTATTTCCTCATCTTATGCATAAGGGTTGCAGGAGACCTTTTGATTAAAGCAAATGTCTTGTACATCAAAAGCTCTCACCGCTACCCCTGGCTTACTATTAATCATTCTCTCTTACATCTGTTCCCAAAGAGCCCACCTTGTGCAGGGCCAGCTGCTGGGCCCACGTAATACGTTTTAATCAACTGTATTAAGCTTTTCCATTTTATGACATTTTAAGTAGATGATTAGACTTGAGTCACCAGGTGTCCAATAGTTTAACTTTGTGTCTGGGAAATAATTTTTGAAAATATCCGTCATGTACACATGTTTGTATTTCTACAGAAGCCATCTGGCAACTCCAGTAAAATGTAAGAAGGAATCTCTGAAATATAAGAGAAAACAAACCATGAGAAGACATGCAGAAGCTTTATTATAATCAAGATTGTTCTCGAAGCTAACAATTGGTAAATTCATTTCAGAAAACAGTTTGCATTCAGTGATCTAGAACCCGCAGACGCACGCCAGACCCAGCTGAAAGTACCCAAAAGCCACACTTGTGGGAATAGTGGCCCTTCCTCCAGATGCGGACTGAGAAGCACTAAGGACACCCCTGAATTCTGTGGGCTGCAGAAGGCACCGGGGAGGAGGCTGCCTGCTTGGCATACTATGGCAGGGCTGCTGATCAAGGCTGAGTCTCCAAAAGCCACCTGCAGTTTATACCAACATTTCAAGATGCGGCCACACAGAGCCTTGAAGGTTACACATGGATTTTTCTCAAGTCATCTGGATGGGAAAAGCAGACACTGAAAATGTGAGGCCAGTCTGTGCCTCGCCCTCTGGGGAGAGGGATTGCTGGGTCTGACCATGTCTGCTGCTGCTCTCACCAGCTGGCAGAAAGGGACTGCAGAGTGGCATCTGGAAGGCTGGCACTGTGGACACTGTTCACAGCACATGGCTGCGCTGACCAAGTCCACTGCTGTTGGGCAGGACCATCAGCCATGCGGCTGGAGGCAGCACTCTGGATGGTTTTCACACCTGACTAAATGATCCCTTTGGCTTTCCAGAAAAGCTGGACACCCTATAGCCCAGGGGAGTCTTGGGCATCTCCAGGCAGGAAACCCTATAGAAATCAGAGGATAATCTGGGGTACTGAGGGAAGATGGACTCAGGCTGGTATGTCCAGGCTCCTGGGCAGCTACACGGGTCAACAAGCAGGTTTCTCTAGCTCACATGGAACGTGGGGTTTCATGTCCCTAAGAAGGTGAAGGCAGGCTTTTATCTAGTCTTTCCATGAGTTCAACTCTCCTGTTCAGGTGTTCCAGAATTAACTATACATCTATTCCTTTGGTCTGGTCGGTGGTCACTTCCAGAACTCAAAAGCAGCTCTAGAGGAGATTGCCAAAAAAAAAAAAAAAACCCCACCAAAAACCCAACTCACAGATTTGCCTCAATATCCCCTGTGGAGCCTGCACTGTGCAATGCAGGGCTCGCCACGCTGATGCTCACTCCCGGGAACCCTGAGCAAACTGCCCACAGTCTTGTTTGTTGGCCCAGTGACTCCCGGAGTAAAAGAGCCATTTCAAAACCACCTGCTTTTCCTGTAGGTGCCTGGTCACCCCGCACAGCGTCCCCTCTGCATGGAGGGGAGGGAGCCTCAGTGTTGCCATCACCTGTTTCCAAGGGCTTTGCCTGGAATCTGCCGTCTCTGTTCTCTCCCCGTCCCCTCTGCATGGAGGGGAGGGAGCTCAGTGTTGCCATCACCTGTTTCCAAGGGCTTTGCCTGGAATCTGCTGTCTCTGTTCTCTCCCCGTCTTACTCTCCTGCAGCTCTCAAGGCTTTACTGACCTATTACTATTTTAAAAAGCATGAAAGATTGAGCTTTCCCCTAATCTTAATCTAATCCTCCCGAGTTTGTGCCTTCTTGTTTTTAAGACCACGGATAGGGACTCTGGGTGACTGCTGAAACAGAACTAAAACTAATGTTTGAATGGCTTCTTTTTAATCATATTCTAGCAAATTCTGCTGATGGTATTTCTAGGGGTGCATGATGTCTTGTCAATGAAGTTTGGGGTTTGAGCCATTCCTAGTTTCAAATATGGAAATTTAAGGCAAAGGAAGAAACAGTATTTTGCAGAAAGTGCTAGTTCTCTTTGCTGGGTGTCAGGTGTGGGCGGCTGGGTGCTGCTGGTGAGGGCAGCAGGGCCTGGCGAGGGCAGCGGGGCCTGGGTGCCCCCTCACTTGCGCGGCTGCTGTATGTGCTGGGGTCTCGGGGAAGGGTGCTTGTCTATGGAGGCGTGGGGCTTCTGGTGGGCCACCTGGGCGGCTGCTGGAGGGAAGTCTTTGTCACCCTGTCAGGAGACACGGAATGTACAGGCACAGGTCAGCATATAAGGAAGCACCCCAAACCCAGCGAGCCCACCCGGCATCCCTGCAGGAAGGCAAGGGAGTGGGGAGCCTGGCAGCCCGTCTCCTGTGGCCAGCAGAGGGGCTGAAACTCTTGCAGGGAGGGCTTGGCCATCAGAGCCGGGAGCTGCAGGTGGCATGAAGGCCACGCATGCCCAGGACAGTGAGAACACTTGCTGGCCCTGTCCCTGTGAAATGAGAAACAGAAACACAGGACCCGTTTGGTGCTGAGTTGGGTGTTGGTGGCTTTCTTCTGCTCGATATGTTTTTGTGATCATTTAAATTGGGGCCATACGGGACCAAAAACAGAGTCTTTTTTTTTTTTTTTTTTTTTGAGACAGAGCCTCAAGCTGTCCCCCTGGGTAGAGTGCCGTGGCATTACAGCTCACAGCAACCTCCAATTCCTGGGCTCAAGCGAGTCTCCTGCCTCCGCCTCCCAAGTAGCTGGGACCACAGGTGCCCACCACAACGCCCAGCTATTTTTTGGTTGCAGCCGTCATTGTTGTTTTTTGGCGGGTCCGGGCTGGGGATTCGAACCCACCACCTTAGGTGTACATGGCTGGCGCCTTAGCTGGTTGAGCTATAGGCGCCGAGCCAAAAACAGAGTCTTAAATTCAGATTTGCTGCCACAGTTGTGAGTCAGGTTTGGGGTGCTGTTCAGGGAAGAAACACACTGAGCAGCCATGAGACAGAACTAGTCTTGGGGAAGAAGCCTCCTGTTTTTCCAGAGAGGGATCAGATGACTTCTATTACCAACTACGGGTGCGTGACCCGGGTGAGGGCTGGCCCACGATGGGCAAGCTCCAGCCACAGCGTGCTCTGGATGGCCACTGGCCGAGGGTTGGCATTTACTTTGCTCCTATGTTGTGCACATGCCACTTTTCTGTCCCTGAAGGTCTGCATGGCCACGGTCACTGCCCTGGCCTCAACTGTGGCATTTTCTCCAGGCATCTCCTAAGGACTCAGATGTCCTGAGAGCAGCAGAGCCACGTGGGTGACATTACTGTGGGAGTCTGCAGGTGTGCGGGCTGCAGCTAAGACAGAATGTTGGCTCTCAGCAGAGGGCACTCCTCAAAGGTGAAGGGTGTGACCTATAGGACGAGTCTGGTCCAGGACCTGCAAATGGCAGCAGCCTTAGCTGGGCGGTGGCCACGTGCCGCTAAAGCTTTGTCCCTGATGCTCTATTTGTGTTCCACGTAATAATCACATGTGCCACACATCGTAGTTTTTTTCTTTTTTTCAATAATTTAAAAAGGCAAAATCATTCTGAGCTCGAAAGTTGCTTACAAAACACCTGGCCTGGGGCACTGCAGTCTGTCCTCCCCTGCCTCAGGCGGGTCAGGGAGGAGGAGAGGAAGGTGGTTCTGTGGCCACACAGATTTCCTATGCTGTGTGCCCCGAGTTCTGAGTTATTTCACACATTCCTAACCACAAAAGCATGCTGTGAAGAAATGTGACAACAGAGAAAGCCACTGGCCCCTAGACTTGATGGCCAGTGGTGTCTGGTTGTTCCGGGCAGAGTTTAAAACGACCAGGAGATGCACCGTAGGTGTGGTCCTACCACTTCCCCTCCCTCCACCCATCCTCCCCGCTCCCCTCCCTGTCCCCTCCCCCCTTGTTCTTGGGCTATAATTGGGTTATAGCTTTCATATGAAAGCTGTAAATTGGTTTCCTAGTAGGGCTGAGTGCACTGGATACTTTTCCTTCCATTCTTGAGATACTTTGCGAAGAAGAATATGTTCCAGCTCCATCCATGTAAACATGTAAGAGGTAAAGTCACCATCTTTCTTTAAGGCTGCATAATATTCCATGGTGTACATATACTACAATTTATTAATCCACTTGTGGGTCAATGGGCATTTGGGCTTCTTCCATGACTTAGCAATTATGAATTGGGCTGTAATAAACATTCTGGTACAAATATCTTTGTTATAATGTGAATTTTGGTCTTCTGCATACATACCTAGTAGAGGAATTATAAGATCGAATGGCAGGTCTATTTTAATGTCTTAACACAATAACTAAGAAAATGCCGTGAAGGCTATGTTAACCAGTTTGATGAAAATATTTCAAATTGTATATAAAACCAGCTCATTGCACCCCATGACTGCATTAACATACACAGCTATGATTTAATAAAAGAAAAAAAAAGACCAGGAGGAGCTGGGAGGTCACACGCTGACATGTAAAGTCCCCGACTCCGCCACAGGCTTCCCTGGACTTACCCGGGCAATGACCCCAGAGATGAACATGGTCGGTTTGGGCGGACTGGAAAACAAGAGGGGAAATGGTGATTTAACAGAAGGATCCAGGACGGGGCACAGCAGCGGCGACTGGATGTGGGTGAGCCTGCTTTCAGGGAGGGAGGAGGAGGCAGGATCAGTCAGACCTCCTCCTCTGTGTCACTTTGTCACAAGGACAGCACTTCACTCAGGGTCCTCCTTTTCCTGAGCTTAGTTCAGGCCATGAGAGGGGAAAAGAGATTGCAGCAAACAGCAGGTAAACTGCCTATTTTTTTTAGTTTTTATTTGTTGGTTAGTCCTTATATTTTAACCGTGGGCAAGCCCACTAATTTTAGTTGGATGAGATCATGGATGCAGGTGCTTCCCTGGAGCAGGGCAGAAGCTTCACACAGATGAACCCAGAGATTTCCTATTTTATCATCCAAGGGTTTCTGCAGGGGTCCTCAAACTTTTTAAACAGGGGGCCAGTTCACTGTCCCTCAGACCATTGGAGGGCCGGACTGTGGGCCCCGGGATGAGTCGGCTGCTAAGCAGGACACGCAGTGGCAGCAAAAACACCAGGCAGGCCCGATAAATGTCCTAGGTGGGCTGCATGTGGCCAGAGGACTCCTGTGAGCCCTCAAGGGTGAGATTCCAGGACTAAAGCCCTGGTACTGTAAGTTCGAGGTCCTCAGGAAGATGTCACATCTCACCACTGGAGCTCACACTGACTCTAGAGCTGTCTAGTACCAAGCAGTGGAATACGGCACCCACAGAGGACAGTCAGGGCTGAGAAACAGATGAACCCAGACAGGATGAAATCACTTATGACTCTACCCACCTCCCCCCATCCCTCAAAGCAATCAGTGCCAGCACAGCAGGCGTCCCTCCAGCCCTTCCTCCAATGAATGGATAGATGTATGTGCTTGTTTTCTTATTTATCTTTTTTTTTTTTTAGAGACAGAGTCTCACTTTACTGCCCTCAGTAGAGTGCCATGGAGTCACACAGCTCACAGCAACCTCCAACTCCTGGGCTTAGCCGATTCTCTTGCCTCAGCCTCCCCACTAGCTGGGACTACAAGCACCCGCCACAACGCCCAGGTATTTTTTTTGTTGCAGTTTGGCCCGGGCAGGGTTTGAACCCACCACCCTCGGTATATGGGGCCAGTGCCTTACCCGTTGAGCCACAGGCGCTGCCCCTTATTTATCTTTTTTCTTATAAAAATGGCTGTATTGTTTTGTCGTCTGCTTTCTGAACTGAGAGTGCGGTGGGCGCCCTTCTGTGTTATTGCACACTCTTCTGTGCGTTTGTTTTGCTGGCTGCAGGTGCCACAGTTAAAAACATCAGGACACAGTGCGAGGTAGTGCACAAGGTCCCTCCACCCGGAGTGAAGGAGGCCAAAGGGCAGGAGGCGGGTACAGGACAGTGTGAGCTGGGAGGAGGGGCAGCTTTCAAGCCCAGAGCCTCCCTCCTGGCCCTTTCCGGTTCTGCTCTGCTCTGCTGTGGGTGCGCTGGTCCCTTTAAGGACTCTACTTATTTCTGCTGTGTTTTGCTACAGGCAAAGTGTTCAGAAAGTTCAGTGATTTTACTTTCCAATGAGCTTAGTAAAAACACCCCAACCTTGGCTTTATTTAGCGTTTGTTGTGTGGCTAATTGGGTTAGATTTTTTTCTTTATGTGTATGGTTTAGCTGTGGGATTAATAGCCAGCAAGAGATGAGTAAGCTCACCTCAAGTTTGAACTGCCCTGTGTGGTGTGTTTGAACTCCCTCGCACCCCTCACCCTCCACGGGCCAGGGCTGCACGTCGCATCCAGGGTGACAGGTTGGCTTCCAGAGCTCAAGAACTGTGTCTGGAGTCCAGCATTTTGTAAATATTGCAGAGAGGAACATGGAGCTGGTAGCACTGAGGTTTCCTAAAGTCATTTGGAATGTTCTTTTGGACATCTAGGGACAGTCTGGGACAGGAATGCTGCTGCTCTGATGAAGGACCACACAGTGTCACCTTCCAGGGAGGCACGGACAGCTCTCTGTGGCGTGACTGTCCCACTCACCTTCACTTTGTATTAGTTTTTTAACCTAAAGTCAAAGCTCTGAAAGGTGGAAATATAGGAGATTCCCACCCTAAGAACTTGGTAAGAATGGCACCTTCAGAGAGTAAGTCTAGTGAGAATAAAGATCCAGCAAAGGGATTAGCTGCCCCGCCCACAGAGACCCCAAAGGGTGGCTGAGAGGCTTGGGGGATTATACACAGAAACATTCTCTCTATATATATACAGGTATACACATATATAGGTGCACACATGTATAACACACACAGACGCCGTTGTAGCTCCTTGCACTCAGCTTCATGTATTCGCACTTCACAAATATCACGTTTTTTACAAATTGAAGGTTTGTGGCAACTCGAGGTTGAGCAATTCCCTAAGGGCCATTTTCCAACAGCAGGTGCTCACTTCATGTCTGTGTGACATTTCCATAACTCTCACAATATTTCAAACTTTTTTGCATTATTATTATTTTTTTGAGACAGAGTCTTACCATGTTACCTTCAGTAGAGTGCCATGGTATCACAGCTCACAGCAATCTCCAACTCTTGGGCTTAAGTGATTCTGTTGCCTCAGCCTCCCAAGTAGCTAGGACTACAGGCGCCCCCCACAATGCCCTGCTAGTTTTGTTGTTGCAGTTGTCACTGCTGTTTGGCTGGCCCGGTCTGGGTTCGAACCCACTGGCCTCGGTGTATGTCGCTGGCGCCCTACACACTCAGCTATGGATGACACCCTTCTTTATTATTTTTAATATATCTGTAACGGTCATCTGTGATCAGTGATCTCTGAAGTTACTATGCTAATTGTTTTGGGGTGCCAAGAACCACGCCCATATTAGCTGGTGAACTTAACCCGTGTTGTGTGTTCTGATTGCTCCGCCCTCCATCTGTCCCCGCCTCGCTTGCTCTCCTAAGGCCTCTATGTTCCTGAGACACACAACATTGAAATCAGGCCAGTTAATAATTCCACAATGGCCTCCAAGTGCTCTCGCTAAAGGATGAGTCTCTAACTTTAAATTAAAAACTAAAAATAATTGAGCTTAGTGAGGAAGGCACTCAGCCCAGGCAGGCTGAAACCCAGGTCTCTGTGCCAAACAGCAAAGTTATGAATGCAAAGGCAAAGTCCTTGAAGAAAATTAAAAGTGTTACTCCAGTGAGCACATGACCAGTAAGAAAACAAAACACTTACTGCTGATATGGAGAGAGTTTGAGGGGTGTGGATAGAAAGGCAAACCAGCTACAGTGTTCCCTTAACCCTACAGACCCCGAGGCCTGATGCCAGTTTAACCTTATCCCTGAATTACACAGCAATCCCCGCCTTTTGCTTACACAGCATTTTCACTGTTAATCTAAGAATATCTCTTTTCCACAGTACTCAGTGTCAGCAACTAGTGAGTGCGTGAACTGGTTTACTGGGTCCTCAGGATTAAGCCACCGTTATAATGAATACGGGAAATACAGGAATATAGGAAAAGACAGTCAAACCAGTTTTCTGAGTTCTTGGGTCCATAGCGTTAAACCAAAGCCCAATCCAGAGCAAGGTGCTGTCTCTCTTCAATTCTGTGTAGCCTGAGAGAGGTGAGGAAGGTTCAGAAGAAAAGTCGGAAGCTGGCAGAGGTTATTTCATGGGTTTAAGGAAAGACGCCGTGTCCAGAACATAAAAGTATAAGGTGAAGGAGCCGGTGCAGGAGACGCTGCAGAAGGTCGTCCAGAAGATCCAGCTCCGATCACGGATGGTGGTGGCTACGCTGAATAACAGGTTCTCATGTAGACAGAACAGTCTTCTCTTGGAAGACGCCATCTAGGCCTTTTATAACTAGAGTGGAGAAGTCAAGGCATGGCTTCAGAGCTTCCCAGGACAGGCTGACTGTCTTACAGGCTAATGTAGCTGGTGATTTGAAGTTAAAACCAATGCTCTTTTATTGTTCCAAAAAATCCCAGGGCCCTTAAGAATGATGCTAAGTCTAATCTGCCTGTGCTTTGTAAATAGGACAACAAAGCCTGGATGTAGTACATCCATTACAGCATGGCTTACTGAATATTTCAAGCCCACCGTTGAGACCTACTGTTCAGAAAAAGATTCCTTTCAAAATATTATGGCTCATTGACACTGCACATGGTCACCCAAGAGCTCTGATAGAGATGTCCGAGGTGGTTGATGTTGTTTTCATGCGTGCTAACACTGCATCCATTCTGTAGCCCATGGATTAAGGAGTCATTTTGACTTTCAAGACTTATCATTTAAGAAATTTCGTAAGAAATTTAAAACTTTTTGTAAGGCTATAAAGCTGCTATAGATTGTGATTCCTCTATCACAAAGTAAATGGAAGACTTTCTGGAAAGGATTTGCTATTCTAGATGCTGTTAAGAACATTATTGATCCACTGGAAGAAGTCAAAATATCAACAAGAGTTTGGAAGAAGTTAATTCCACCCTCATGGATGACCTGAAGGGTTCAGTGTGTCAGTGGAAGAAGTAACTCCAGATGTGATGGAAATATCAAGAGCATTAGAAGTGGAGCCTAACAATGGGCCTGAATTGCTATGATCACAAGATAAAGCTGCAAGGGACGAGGGGCTGCTTCCTACTGATGGGCAAAGGAAGTGGTCTCTTGAGATAAAACCTATTCCCGGTGAAGATGCTGCAACACTGTTGAAAAGACAACAGGGATTTAAAACAGTCCATAACCTCAGTTGAAAAAGTAATGGCGGGCCTGGAAAGAATCGACTCCAATTTTGAAAGATGTTCCATCATAGGCAAAATATCATCAAACAGCATCTCATGCTACAGAGTCATCTTTTGTGAAAGGAAGGGTCAATTAACGCAGCCAACTTCATTGTTGTCTAATTGTCAGAAATTGCCAGAGTCACCCCAAGCTTTAGTGATCACTACTCTGATTAATCAGCAGCCTGCGACATGGACGGATGCAGGACACTCCATTAGCAAAAAGACGACAGCTGAAGGCCCAGAAGGTCGTTATTTTTTTTTTTTAAGCAACAAA